CGGAGACACAGAGACTGGACCGAAACTCCTCGAAGACAGGAGTGGGCAATCCCTTAGTCATCACATCAGCAAACTGTTGCGAGTCGGAACATGGAGAACCCGAACACGGCCAAAGGCAACCTGCTCGCGCACGAGGTGAATATCGAGCTCAATATGCTTCGTACGTCGATGGTGCACCGGGTTGGCGGAGAGGTAAACCGCACTGACGTTATCGCAGTACACAAGAGTACCCTTGTGAACGTCACAAAGCAACTCCTGGAGTAGCTGACGGATCCAAGAACACCCGGCCACGACGTTAGCCACGGCCAAATACTCTGCCTCGGTGCTGGAGCAGGAGACCGTGGGCTGCCGCTTCGATGACCAAGAAATCAACGAGGGCCCAAGGTAGACACAATAGCCGGACGTGGAGCGTCGAGTGTCGGGGCAGCCAGCCCAGTCGGCATCCGAGTAGGCCACGAGGTCGGTGGAGGCAGAGGCCGCCAAGGTGAGTCCCAAGGACATGGTGCCGCGTATGTAATGGATAATAAGCTTCACCAAGGTCCAATGGGAGTCAAGCGGAGCGTGCATGTGGAGGCACACCTACTGGACAGCGTACTGTAGGTCGGGTCAGGTCAGCATCAGGTACTGTAAAGCACCAACAATGGAGCGATAGAACACTGCATCGGACGCGAGAGACCCCTCCAGAGCAGAGACCTTTGCCTTCGTGTCGATAGGGGTGGGAGCCGGTTTGCAGTTAAGCATACCGGCACGCTCCAGAAGCTCGTGGGCGTACTTCTACTGATGCAGAAAGAAGCCGTCAGTCCGTCGGACCACCTCGATGCCGAGGAAGTAGTGCAGAGGCCCCAAGTCCTTGAGGGCGAACTCATCACAAAGACGAGCAGTCAGCCGTTGAAGGAGATCGGGGGCGGACGCCATGAGGATGATGTCGCCGACGTAGAGCAGCAGATATGCAGTGTCAACTCCCCGTTGATACACAAAGAGTGAGGCATCTGAGCGAGTGGACCAAAAGCCCAGAGACTGCAGGAAGGCTGCGATACGCTGGTACCAAGCCCGATGTGTCTGCTTCAACCCGTAAAGAGAACGGGAGAGCAAGCACATGAAGTCTGGATGCTCAGTGTCGACGAAACCGGTGGGCTACTCACAGAACACCTGCTCGGAAGGATGGTCGTGCAACAAGGCGTTGGAGACATCCAACTGGTGCACAGGCCAGGATTGCGAGACCGCCAACTGGAGTACGGCGCGGATCGTGCCTGGTTTGACAACCGGAGGGAAGGTGTCGGTGAAGTCCATGCCTGCGCGCTGCCAAAATCCACGAATCACCCACCGAGCCTTGTAGCGCTCGAGAGACCGTCCGAGCGGGTCTTATGGCAGAACACCCACTTGCTAGTGATGACATTGCACGAGGGGGTCGCGGAACAAGATGCCACGTGCGGTTGCGCTGCAAGGCGTTGAACTCCTCCTGCATCGCTGCTACCCAGTGGGGATCCTGAAGGGCAGCGCGAGCGGAGGGAGGGATGGGGACAGCGTCGACGTTGAGGCGGCGCAGACATACTCGTCAGAGAAGTAGCGCGTGCTCGGCCAAAGCACACCAGCCCGAGCATGGGTCGTCACGCCGAGAGGCGCAGCAGCGGTGGCGGCGGAGGCCGCGGTGCCAGAGG